AAAAAAAAAAAAAAAAACGCAAACCACCAAATATCAAAGAAAAACAACAATTGAAGAAGGCAACTCAAACAGTACTAAACGAACCCTTGTGGAGGTTGTAAGAATACTCCTAATTATATAGGAGAAACAAATTCGACCTGAATCTTGAGGTATTCAGGCTTCTTGTGTTCGCCTTTGGCCATGTTGACGGGAAGGACTTGAAAAGGAACATCTTTTTCGACAAGGCAGGCCAGAACCCTTGACACGGCGGTTGAGAGTGGAGGCCCGTGCACTTTCACGGCGGCAGCCATTACGGGCACTGATTAAGCACTTGGAAGAGACGGTGCTTTCGAAATAGCTTTTTTTATTTCTCTTTAACGTTCTTCAGCTCTTGAACGTGTTCAATTATCGACCACTGGGACACTAGCTGCACATTATCCACTGGTTTAAACCCAATTTGCTACGTAGGACGGCTTTCTTTTGCTTCTGTTTTTTGTTTCCGGTTAATTTACACAAAAAAAAAAAATTCATTATTTTTTATTTTGAAGACATTTGAATTAAATATTATGTATGATTCATTATCTTAACTAATTTTTTGTATTATGTATGATTCTTATATTTCTCATTGTCTGGTATTGAATATTTATACTATTTTTGGGGGAAACACTTTCTCTCTCGCCTCTCTCTAACTTTATCTCTCTCTAAAAAAAATAAAAAAACCAAATCTGCTCTGGCCTTCCTTCAGCAGAGGCCTCCGGGCCATCGCGGCGGCGGCCATCTTCGGGCCGTGCGGTTGGCGTTCGAAGGCTCGTTAGACTGGCGGCTTCCTCTTCCCGGGTGAGACGGCAGATTCGCCTAATTTGGATCTCGCCTCTTTATTGGTCGCCAAGGAGGATTTTGACCGACGACTCCCCGGCGTCTTGGCAGCGGCGCTTTTCCGGCAAGCTTGCGACTAAGGGATGCAGTTCCGATCATCACTTTTGAAGTCGGTGGTGGTCGCGCTGAGATCGGGCCGTTTCGCTCTCTTTCCTTCTCCGATTTTCTCTGCTTTTGGGCATGTTGGTTTCATTGGCGGAGTTGAGTCGTGGCCGGGTCTCGTGTCTTGGACTCGGGTCATCGGGATTGTGATGGTGGAGCTTGTTGTTGATCTCCGGCCACGGGTGTCTATTCGGGAGGGACAAGGTTTCTAGTCTCGATTCTAGTTAGGCGATTATTCTGCAGTTTCTGGCTTTGCGACTTGGACCGGGTCTTGTCCGTGTGGGTGGTCGGCGTCTAGTTGTGTTCGGTTGGTTCTAGCTGCTGTTGGAAGGGCTTTAGTTTATGATATTCTTAATTTTATTTTTTTGTGACTTTTGTTATTAAGTCTGTGTTGTTCCGTAGGAGTGTGTTTGTGTTTTTTTTTCCGCTTTAGGGGGTGTGTATTCTCCTCCCGTTGGGGAGTTTTTCGTGTGTTTGTTGTGTTGTATTGTGGTTTCTAGGCTACCTTGGGTAGTCCTCCCTCATTCGGCTTCTCAGCGATTGTAATTATGTGTTTTAGTAATGATATCTATCGTTTCAAAAAAAAAAAATATTTATACTATTTTCATTTATTTTAATTTTTAAATTAATATTATCATCTCTTAAACAAACACTTGATTTTTTTTATCACTCCTTTTTGTAATAATATATCAATTTTTTTTTATTCCAATAGTTTTATAATTGACCCCCTATACATATAGAAAAATAAAAACTAATTTTTTCTGTGATATCAAATAAATTAATATATACATTAGTGATGGTCTACTCTCAGATCTAGAGTGAACCGGTGGAAACGAGTTCAGATCTGCCTAAATCGCCTTCGAATCGTCGTTGGACTGCGAGAATACCTACAAAAATACAACGCCGGAGATGTTTCCAGCGTAGAGCCTCCGACGCTCAAGTCAGTGAACGAAAGGGATGAAGAAAGGCTACTTTGAGAGAGCAGCTATGGAGGAGAGTATGGAATGAGTAAGAAGTTAGGTTTTAGGGCAACCTCTTCTCCTTTATATAGGAGGGAAAACTTACCTAAGATACTCGAAATGCCCCAAGTTGGTGGACCTACAAGGTCCAAATTGTTCTGGTCGATTCGTCTCCCCTCCTTGCTGAGTCATATCAAGATTCCTTCTTATCCATGAGAGGACAAGAGGTTCCAAGGGATGTATCAAGTGTGTGGAGTCGTCAGTATGCCTTACGGCTTGAGATGTGAGGAGTCGACCTCGAGTATGGACAATTCATCCTAGGCTCTGGTTCAGCAGCTATGCTTTCACTACTTAGGAAGATGTCGACTATCAGGGAGTCGACTTGTACAAAGTCGACTTCTACACGTCGACTTGTACAAAGTTGACTTATAGGCGTTGACTGGTATGAGATCTTTGTCACCATCCCCTGATGAAGAGTCGACTACGAAGTAGTCGACTTAGGGATGTCGATGGGCATATGTCGAGATGTAGGCAGTTTCACCTGTTCTCCGGTCGAGTAGACCTTTGGGCCGATATGTCTTTATATGGCTATATCAATTAGAATATCAATGTAACAAAACACTTCCATATAGGTTGCGCATAAACAAATTATAAATATATTATAAAAATAGCATAATATAATATAATAGGTAAAATAACTTGTTATATTACGACCTTTTTTTTCCAAATTACAAAAACATAACGACTTTTGCACTTTGTCACATAATATCATGATATTTGGTTTCTTTACAAAAGGATACACAGTTTTCACAAATCGGCCATCGGTGCTTACTTCTTCGTTACTTCTCCGTCTAACCTTTTATTACATGGAATTAAAAATATGATGTGTAGATTATATTTTCCGACGCCCAGTGATGCCGCATTCGACTGCAGTCCGCGAAATGTTCGCGGGCGACCCGCAACCAGTGATTCGTGACCTCCCAGGCGTTCTACTAGTGACCCGCGACATCCCAGGTGTTCCCAGGTGCAGCGACCATGCGACCCCTTGCCTACAGCGCCCGTGCGCCATGACCAGCGACCTACAGATCCTGTGTGCGTGCCCAACGACCCGACGACGTCCTAGTTGCGACCTGTGCGAGCCACCAGTAGCTTCGAGCCACCTCAGCGAGTTGTACTGGGAGTAGGGGTGAGCAAAACTGAGCCGAAACTGAAAAATCGAACCGAATCGAGCAACTCGGTGTGGTTTTGAAAAGCTCATTTAACGGTGCGGTTTGGTGTTTGGAAAAATGCAGACATTTCGGTACGGTTCGATTTTCTGTCCGAATGGTGCGGTTTTAACTGAACCGCACCGAAAATCATAAAGTGTCATTATAATTTTAACACTTTTACATATCCCCTATAATATACATCTTAATAACCGTAGGTTTGAGGGACTTTCTGAGTGCCACGTGGCCGCCTTGCAATTTTTCCCCAGCTTTTTTTTTTTT